AGGCATTGATAAAACCAGCTATCTATTATGAAATTTGAGAATTGCAACCCTCCCCTCCCCTCCCCCCCAATCCTGTCTTTAGCGCTAGGGTTAAGTAGGAAGTGGGATAGCCTCTGGCTTCATGAGAAGGTGTTGGCAGTCCTAATCACAACGGTAAGCTACCTTACTACATGTATCTCTAGGAGCCGACCTTGATAGAACAGGCACTCGTGATGGGTGAACACGGTGAAGTGAGTAGGACTTATTTATGTTAGCCAGGACAACTATGTGTGTTAATCAACAGGATATTGAAGAACTGCCATTGCGGTAGTGTTTTGATAGCGAAGTTATGAATCGTAGGTGGGGCTTGGATGAATATTGTGGGAATGGGACTCGATCGAAATATGGTTAGCGGCTTCGTACTTGGATCTGAGCCCGATAAGATACCGACGTTATGATAAAGAGGCCCCCTGGTCATCCTCGGCCCCCGCATCCCACCCTTCAATTCTACCTTGTAACCCTCGCCAAGTACACAACATAGCTCGAAGCACTCTCTCAGCCTTCACCCTATGGAGACGTCTGACCAGCAGTCAAGTATCAGCCATGGTAAGTTGTTTTCTTCGTGATGTGAGCCCGAGGGTGCTGACGGCTCGGCAAGGGTCGCGTGTGGGGCAGGCGTGCCGAAGTTGCCATGTTCGCAAGATCAAGTGCGATCTTCCATCGCTAGGTATCCCGCCATGTACAAGGTGTTTGCAATCAGATCTGCCATGTCATCGCTTCACGAAGAGACGTCGTGTAAACCGCGTCTTACAAGCCGCTCTTAATCAACCAAAAGACGGGTAAGTTACACAAATTAGTATTGTATGAAATAAGTGGACGTGAGTTAATACAGCTGACTCTCTCCATCCAGAACGCAAGAAACGTCTAGCAGAATACTAGATGTAACAGTCCGCCAGTCGTCCAGGCCTGGAACAGTCCTGGAGGATGCCACCAGCGCATTTGACTCTTTGGGAGCCGGAGATGACCCAAGGCCACTCGTTGTATCTGGCTTGGAAGACATCTCGAAACAGACCTCCATTCTTGTCGATTTCCTTGCTCAGGACTTTTCTATCAACCCGATTAGCGACTATCAGGTAACTTTCAACGACAACTACTGCAATATTACTCGTGTTTTAGCAAATGAATTTGGCCGTGGTTTCAAAGATAGCATCCTTCACCATCGTGATGCTCCCTTTGTGAAACGCAATCAGGGGGGTGGCATCCCGCGACCGCTGGAGGGCGGAGAGCGCTTCGTCTTAGAGTTACAGGGTGCTTTCGTTCTTCCTAGCCAGCGCATCTCAGACAGCTTTGTGACGGCTTTCTTTGATAGGGTTCACCCAATGATGCCAATAATCGACCGCTCTGAGTTCTTGAAACATTATTATTCCATGAACTCGACTTCACCAGGAGTCTCCCTGTTGCTGTTGCAGAGCATTCTTCTATCTGGATCGACGACTTACAAGCACCCGGACCTTACTCTCGATGCTCGGGAGGTGTCGTGGCGACTATATGTCCGCGCAAAAGCACTCATGGAGCACCGCTTCGAGCAGGATCGGCTCACCTTGGTGCAGGCCCACCTGCTATTCAGCACCTTTGGGTGTGACAGCTGCGACGATACTATTCAAAACATGTGGCTTTCCATTGGCTCTGCGGTGCGAATAGCAGAGGGTATGGGTCTACACCGAGACTTGGGAAATGCCAACGCCAGCCAAGCCATGCGCCGACAGTGGAGGCGTTTATGGTGGACTGTCTTTGTGCATGATACACTATGCTCTTTCGAATGGGGACGGCCCCGGGCTATCAATCTTGCTGATACTGACGTGCAGCTTTTGTCCCCGGAGGACTTCCAGTCAGAAGAAGGTGGTTCATTACCGTCTGCGGAACATACAACCTTCTTCATTCAATTGTGTGAGCTTTGTTTTATTATCAGTGACTGGCTGGACATATTCAGGCCGGGAGGACCTAAGAGGAGTCGTCATTCCGAGAGCGAAGTGAGACAGGAAAAGATTCAAAAAACCAGAGAATGCATCACGAAAGCCTTGAGCTGGTTACAAAATCTCCCTGCAATCCTACAGCCACCCCTAGGCTATACCGGCTTCACTTTGTGGACTGCCACTCTACACATTACCTATCAGGCCACGATGCTACGGTTTGCTACATTACTACCAGAGGGCCCCAATGCTGTATACTTAGCGGCTAGCAAAATAACAGATATCTGTCAGGACTTAGGCCGCCAGAGCCTTCTCCACTCATTGTGGAACTTCGGGATTCATGAGTTTGATCTAGCCATGGGACAGCATGCCCGCCAGCTGAACAGCAGAAACTCCGATGTAGCTGCCTGTGGCTTTCAGAATCTCCGTCGCGGATTACCTTTAATCCAACAGCTTTGCGCCCGCAGTTTTGTGGCTAGCCAGGGGGCTGTCTTCTACCAGCAGTTGGTCCAGCAATTCGAAAAACATCAACAGCAAATATCTGATGAAATTACACCTTCGAATGGAGAACGGCAGCCGACAGAGACTCATCTACCCTCAGGTCTGACATCGCCTTGGAGTTTCGAAGCTATGGGTGAATGGGAGCACGAATTCGACTTTCATCAAAATGGACTTGGAAACTGGACCATTTACCAGGCTGATCAGTCGGCAGGATGGAACATGAACTTTTAATTGTTTTGACTTGAAGAATATTTTCCTCCTGTATAATTAATAAAATGTTTACGCAGCGTGTTGCTGATGCTCTGCTGATGCTCTATCTACAAACCAAGTAACATTACATCCTGTGGCGCCTACCTTTAGGCAAACAAAAATCTAAATTGGGGTGTTTAATCTCTCTGCAACTGTCATTTATGAACACCTTGGGCTCTTCCAAGAGAACTCAATAGCTGTGTTGTCAAATGGCAACTCGAGTTCTAGTCTACTCCAAAGGCCCAGAATCTGTAGTGCCTAACTGTTTTCTCTCCGCCTCGAGTTCCTTTTGATGCTCTCGTGTGATAATATTGTCAGTCACCACACCCATTGTCACGGCCTTCTTCTCAAAACTTTCCGGGACAATAACAGAGTCCTCCAAGAAGTAGTTGGTCTCCTTAACATGGTAACCAATGACCCAGTAAAGGCATATCAATCCAAAAGTGTAGAGAACCAACTCATAGATAACCTGATTGCGATAGCTGACATTCTGGCTGTCAACAGTAAATGAGATACACATGCCCAAGCTGACTGTTCCTTTGAAAGCTCCGGCGTATCGAGCGCAGAGTGCGGGGTCGTTACTCAAAGAGCCTAGGGTCCACTGCACGACAATCTGGTAGCAGGCGTAGATAATACCATTGAGGAGATAGAGGATAAAGCCCGCGGCGAAGGCCGAGTCCGTCCAATCCACGGCCGGTGGCGTCTTGTTGCGATCCACATCATTGTGAATCACCCAGCCTAAGAGACCAGCCAATGTCGCAATGCTAATAATCCCTACAATCGTCGTGCCAATCAGGCCTTTCTTTCTTCGGGATAAAATACGAGGATTATCCATAATCAGGGCAAGACAAAGAGGCGCGGGAATCATAATAACCTGGAACAACAAGTTGTTCAGTGACCGAGTGCGAAGGTTGAAATAGAATCCTGGTTGAGGCAATTCAATTAATTATGGACCCTAAAGTTGTTTCTTCCGGGCACATACCATTTATGCTGCTTATGACTGCCATGTTCATTTCCCCAACGAACATAGCTGGTATAAGTATGACAATCTTCGGGTCGGTCAAAACAGAAATGATTCCCTTGACTTCTCCAATGAAGTTGGGCTCCTTGAAGATTGCTATATGGCGTCCATCATCACGGACGACTTCTCGCGGATCTACAATCAGTAAGAAGTTCATGACAATGGCACTAGTTGTATTTTTCATTAGCGATCGCTACTTGAAGACATATTCACTGAGTGTGCTTACCAGCACATGATTACAATAAAGACAACATAGACTGGAGTGGAGACACCTGTCGCCTCTTCCTTGTCGTGATTGGCGCCAAAAGCAATGAGAGCACCGACGGTGCTTCCAGCAGAAGTAAGGACCCATTGATACGTTATATACTATCGTTTTGCTATTAGCTTCCTAAACCCGCGTACCAGGGTCAAGGGGTCAATCTTACTTTGGCCTTATCTTTCTCCTCAGCATATGCAAATTGAATGAATCCAGAAGCCGTCCAGAGCATAGCAGCCGTCAAACCGAGGAACGCACCAGCTGTTGAGCAGAACGCCGTATTAGCTAAGGAACTCCTACAGGAACCTGGGTATCAAGTATGCGGAGAAAACATACCAAAAAGTGGGAAAGCCTGGTGACCAGTGCGGTCGTAATACCAGAGTGATCCTACGTAGAAGGGATAACCAAGGGCACCAAAGGCACTTAAGTGAGTATTGTTAGTTTTAGGCATTTCCTGTGCACATTTGACCGACTCACATAGTCCACTTAGGGCGAAAGAAATTGAGAGCTGTTCCGCCACACCAGCCAGCAACGGTGTACACGCCGTAGAGAATGCTATCGTCTATTAATGTCTTTATTCAATGGTATCTTTCTTGTGTATTTCTCGAATTTCGACATACGAGTTGGTCAAAGATGCGACTTTCTGGGACGATGGCTGTCCACCACCGGCGCCAAGGCCGGTGAGTGCTAAGTAGATGCCGGGAAGGCAGAAGAGAATGCTTTCAGTATGCGTAAGTCTTTTCAAGTCTTATTACCTTATGTTCAGCTTGACTTACCATCCCATGATGAAATTCTGATTGAAAGCACGATTACGTGCGAGGTTACCTTTGAGAAGAGCCATGATAAGCCCATTCGCAATGGTTAAGACGGTCTCTTACAAGCAAGAGCGTCAAAAAATCTGTGAATATGTTCGAGAATCGAGATTGCTGTGCAAGCAATGTGCGGTCGCGATTGCCTGGCTTTTTCTTGGTGCTCTACGAAGAGACTATATACACGAAGGCATATTATGGGCTGGTCCGCTTTGACTGACATGATCCCGCATTAGGTTTTCCGTTGGGGTGTAGATAAGCTTGAATTTAGTCGTAACAGCTTCTTGATGCTTACCAATGACGCAGTGATGATAGGGCCGGTGTGGAACCCAATCCCTCGCTGTGGATCCTCAAAGGAGGATGTCTGATAGTCACTGTTGCCTGTAGTGAAGATTATAATGAACAAAACTAGACTGTAATTATTGCCGTCAAGAAGATGCCGGTTAATATGCCGCTCACTGATAAGAAGGGAAATCGTTAGGTGGTTAGCTCGGCGCCAGAGCGGCGTCTCGGCTCTTGGCCCGTGCCAGGTCCGTGATCGCCCCGTTTTTGCCCCTTTCAGAAGCCCCAAGACTGGATTTAGGGATCGAACATCTTCGGCGCTGAGAGGAATGGAGAGTGCCACATTCGACCCAAGATTGGTTAAGTGGGATAAGATATCGCTCCGGGACGTCATGACGATCGACATCCAATGTACCAAGCTGCGAATTCTCCTCACAAATAGCCAATGTCCTATAAACCGCCACATCATTGAGAGGTATAAAGATAACAAGGGTCAATACGGAAAATTGCAACTAGAAGTTAATCAAAGCATATCAAGGTCAACTCAACTGTATCGAAAATTCGAGGCTCAACATGACGACCACGAAGACGCAGACACAGCATACAAAACTTGAAATCAATGCTAAAATTCTCCCACCCACGGTGCGATATGAGGGCATGAACATATCTTACGAGCGTTTACAGGATGGCTATCGCACTAATTGGCCAGTGAGGAAGAAAATGGAGGTTCCAGTATATGCAGCCGAGGCGAATGCAGACGATGTTGTTAGCGGGCTCATGAGAGTTGGTGGTGTTGTGGTAAGAGGGATTGTTAGCCAAGAAGCTATTCAGCAGATGGAAAAGGACATTCGACCATACCTAGAAGCAGATGAGCCATGGTCAGCCGGCGATAATTTCTTCCCGCCAACCACTCGTCGAGCATTCGGGCTTATTGGAAAATCCCGCGCCTTTGCGACTGATATCATCGGAAATGAGCTGTATCAAGCCGTGTGTGATCAATTCCTAACCTCGAGGTCATATCCTTTCTACGGTAATCGCAATAACGTCAACGTCTCCCCACCTCAAGTCAACAATACTATCGCATTTTCAGTCCGCCCTGGTAACAGCTTCTCGCAACCCCTACACCGGGACGACGACATCCACTATGCTTCCCGGTCACGCATAGAGAAATATCCAGAGCCGCCCAACACCCGAGAATACGGAATCGGCTTCTTCGTAGCAGGAACCAAAACTACTAAGGCAAATGGCGCTACTCGCTTCATTCCTGGTAGTCATCTCGAAGACACTGTCCAACCCCCTGATGAGAACTTTGTACATTACGCCGAGCTCAACCCTGGCGATGGCTTTATCATGCTCTCAAGTTGTTATCATGGTGGTAGCGCCAACACTACAGAAGACGAAGAACGTTTGCTTTTTAGTTGTTTCATGACGCGTGGATGGTTACGACAGGAGGAAAACCAGTACCTTTGCGTGCCATTGGATGTGGCAAGGGGCCTCCCCGGCCGAATTCAAAAGTTGATTGGTTATGCTACTAGCGAGGTATGTCTTAATCATGTTCATATTATCCAAACTGTTTTTGAGAACCAAAATCTGACTGCTAACCCGTCAAACAGCCAATGCTAGGCTGGGTAGATTTTAAAGATCCTCGGGGAGTGTTGGATCCGGAGGGCGGAGAGCGTGTAGCACACCGCAAGGATCGGCTGAAAGTTGAGAACTAGCCTTTGTAAATTGTCATGGATAACGGCACATTTGTTCAAGATGCACACTCTCGTATTATCAGATGAGTCTCACGCTGTGAAAGACTCACGCTCACGTTGCATTAGAAATAGCATTAGAGAAGGGAGCGGTGGATCTCCAAATAAGTCATAAAGTGTCAAGCTTAACATCAGGAATATCCCGGCATATTATAGTTCTTTCTCTCAAAGATTGGCGTTCAGGAAGTTTTCTCAACGTGCAGTCGTTGTTCATTCTAATTGATCGCTGTGTTCATAACCTAAAATGAATAGAGAAGCGGTGATAATCCTACTCCAATGACCCCTTTCCGTAATGAAACTATGTGCCTGGAAAGATGTTAGGCCGAGGATGTTACTTTACAACATAGCTCCTTGCTTCGCTGGTAGAGCTGATAGTGCTCAGTAAAAACAAGATATCATGCGCAAGGATCTCTTGCGACTTACCCCCGCTCCCTCTCGTAACGTTATCAGCGGAAGGCCAGCTCCACTTGCTCGGCCTCTCGGGGTGTACGCGGACTCTTAGCGGCTTGATAAGCTCCTTTGGGGCGCATTGCGATTGTTTACTTAGCGGGATTTCCAAGCCAACACTGGTCAAACTAGAAATTGGGTCGCGGTCACTACAATCATCTAAGTGGGGTCGGCTGGATCCTCCGATAAGAGTCGTCGCAGCATGTTTGCCCTCATTTTAGTCCCAGTCAGTCATATATGGAATAAGATTATCATAAAGTCGTGGACTTCCACGACTTCTGCGCCCACCCTGATATGAGCTTTCAGTTATTGATTTCATGAACGCCAAGTGGTCTGCGGCCTGATAGGATGTGTACAATCTATCCTGTCCCTAAAGAGTACCCGAAAGAAATAATCGGGTACGCAGAGCCTTGGATCGCGAATCCAGGAGATACCGTTGATATAAAGGTGCGTCAATCATTCATCTATCATTGCATTTGCAATCGCACCCAGTTTCGAAGATGTATCCTAAGAAATAGAGGTGTCTTGTACGGAGCCCGAATTTCAGTATCGAACACTTCGCTTCCTACAGACGGCCTACAAAAATCGAGATGGGCTACCCCCCCAGGTCGAAGAGATCGTCAGTGCAGGCACCGGGACCTCCAAAGGAAGATTTCAGCTTGCTCACGCAGGATCTTACGGCGTGGTTGAAAACATCGGTTTCAAATCAGACGATACCGGGATAAAGCTTGTCTTTTACGCGCAGCCTTGGATGCAAGAATGTTCCCACGTGCAGACACTAATCTCGACACTCGACGTATCGAGAAATACGGGATTCGCTGTCGTTCTGAGCGAGAAAGGCTTCGTTGACTTATGGATTGGAATTGGCAGTGAAGTTTGTGTTGTGAATTCAGGATTCAAGCCTGCAAAGACGCGTTGGATGAAAATCGATTTGGAAATAGATGGGGTTGCCATGCGTCTTGACATTAAATCTTTAAGCCGACTAACGGAGCCAGCTGCCAAGGCAATCCTCACAAGAGCTACGCTGAAAAGTAAGTTTGCACCATGTTCTTCGCGGACTACCAAGCTTCTCGTTGCTGCATCGCAAGCAGCATCGCCGATGGCCAAGTCTCAGCATCATGTACCCCTGAATAAATTCAACGGACGCCTTGATACGGTAATACTGGAGGTTTTGGGGCCAAACCCGCGCGTACTAGCACAATATGACTTCTCAGTCGAGATCTCCAGCGACTCAATCCATGACATGTCCGGAAATTGTCGGAATGGGACACTAGTGAATGCACCTAGTCGCGCGATGACGGGTTATAACTGGGACGGGTCTGAGACAGACTGGACCAAAGCCCAATATGGCTATGGTGCAATTCACTTCCATGACGATGACCTTGATGATGCAGCGTGGGAGACGGACTTCTCAATCAGGATACCAGAAGATGCAAGGTCTGGTGTTTATGGCGTTGAGATCAAAAGTACAGGTTCTGATGTCAGCGATACCGTTGTCTTCTATGTGAGACCGACTGAAACCACCACTGCAGAGGTGAGGAGCTCATATTGGCCTAATCTCTTCAAATTTGATCAATAGCTCATACTAGAATCCTCTAGCTTGGAGCCAAGGCTGTTTTTGTACTGTCGACGTTTACGTATCTCGCATATGCGAACGAGAAGATGTTCCGACCTGACAGCCCCGCACGAGCCGAAGTTCCCCAAGAATTCGGCTCTTTCGAGTTCTACAAGGACGAAACGTTTTACAAACAAGACCGCCGTGAAGACCTGGGCCGCTCTGTGTATGATGTTCATAATGATCACAGTGGCGTTCTGTTCTCTTCTTACAAAAGACCTCTTCTAAACAACCGGCCCGACTATGTGAATTGGACTGGCCACAGGCCAAGGGAGCTGAGCGCGGAACTCATCGGCATTGGGTTTCTAGAGCTGCTTGGGATTCCTTATGACGTGCTGACAGACCACGACTTGCACATGAAAGGCGTCGCAGCGCTGAAGCCTTATACGGTAGCTCTAACGGGTTGTCACCCCGAATACCCCAGCCTACGCTCTTATCAAGCCTATGAGGACTTTCTCAAGCTTGGGGGTAACCTCATGTACCTCGGTGGCAATGGCTTTTATTGGCGATCCGACACGGATCTAGCTCGACCACATCGAATGGAGGTGAGAAGGGGTGGACAGGGCGTGCGAACATCATGGCAACAACCTGGAGAGAGGATCCATTCAATGACTGGAGTGGTGGGAGGTCTTTGGAGAGATTGTGGCAAAGCCGCGAACTTCATGGTGGGGATCGGTTGTTGCGGTGAGGGAACGGGTGCAGGTAAATAATCCCCAGAACATCCACGAGAGTTGACCCAACCTCGGCGTTTAGGTCAATTTTTAATAAAGTTCCATGTAGCTGGACTAAGAAGCTAACCATACTTCTATAGGTGTACCCTACCGCATTACCCCTAATCTCGAGCAGACTCACCCGCAGATAAAGTCATGGGTCTTCAATGGTCTTGTCGAGCCGAACGATAACAGCGAATTCCTTTTCGGTCGAAATACACTAGGCGGATTTGGTGGCGGCGCTTCAGCAGATGAAATTGACCGCGTGGACTTTCACTATGGCTCTCCTTCCAATATCGTCGTCCTTGCGTCTTCCACGGGCCATCCAGATACTTTCGGTCTTTTTCCCGAAGACTCCAATTTTCCGATGCTGAAAACCTTGGGCACGCAAACGGATATGATACGTTCCGACATGACGTATTACGAAACCAGCGGTGGTGGTGGTGTGTTCTCAGTGGGAAGCATTAGCTGGTATCTAGCACTAGGATGGAGGAATTACGACAATGACGTTGCCATTATTACGTCAAATGTTCTTAAGCAATTCATGAAAGGACCTTCGAGCCTTTTGGGGAACGGCTGAGTGCTCGACGTATAAACTTACGTGCGATTGAACTCGCACTTCGGTTTGATCAACGCACTCACCTATGGGAAGGGATGAGGTCCGAATCTGAATGATCAAGGCCATGAGTAATGAAGGGTCAAAGTGTAGTCTGATTCTGATTGGTTTGCTTTCTTACAATGGCATATTTGGCTTGCAAATCAAGCCTGATTACATCTTTAAGTGTCACATAAGAGTATTCCTGAATATAGCTTGTTCCTCCTCGATGAGTTTAACAGACGCTACTATCACCCACGCTGGCAGAGCCAGCAGATCCACCTATAAGATGGGTGCTGCAAGTCCTTGAAAAGACGCACTGGAAGCTGTGCTGACTGAAAGTAACCGACGCCAGCACGCTCAAGATTATCCGAATCCCTGCTTTTATGGTCATTCATGGCATGACGCTATTTTGATCACGACCTTCCCAAAATGAGACCCATCTCTGACATACTTGAGTGCGGCTTTTGCATCTTGCAGGCCAAAAGTCCGATCAATGACAGGGTGAATCTCCGTCGATGTATATAATGATATCATTTCCTCCGTACGATCTCGTGGGCCTATATTAATACCTTTGATGGCAGCATTTCGATTGATGAGACTGAGACTCATCGCCATCCTAGGCTTATCATCGGTGATTCCTGTCAGGACCCCAATTGCGCTAATGGTACCACCTTCAGCGACTGCCTTGAGGCTCTGATCCATAGTTCCCGGGCCACCAGATTCGACAATGACATCTGCGCCGAGCCCCCCAGTTATCTTTAGCACTTCGTCAGCCCAATCCGGGGTTTTTTTATAGTTAATCAAGTGTCGCGCTCCGAGATCCCTCAATCGTTGCAACTTGGCATCCGATGAAGAGGTTACGATAGCTACGCATTGCATCAGTGAACAATTCACAAGACCATGACTACGACTATAGACCCTGTTACTCACTTGTCAGACCCAGTGCCATGGCTTGTTGAAAGGCGGCGATAGAAACTCCCCCAGTCCCCTGGAGCAACACAGTCGAACCGTCGTTTTTTCTTGGCTGCCCAATCGGCCGATCCCAATTGACAGCCATCCACGCCGTCGTACTTGTGATTGGTAGCGTACAAGCTTCGTCGAAGGTCATATAGTCTGGTACAGCGAGTAGTCCGGTTGCTTTGAAAACTCGATACTCGGTCAAAACACCTGGCTGTGGCAATCCGATACCCGCCGCATGATGGGACGCTTGAGTCGGGCCTGTGAGATGTGTCGGGCGTACAAGGGCAATTACCCTGTCTCCTTCACACCACTTCTCCGCTGCGCTGGCACCCGTCTTAACCACTATGCCGCTGGCATCGGAGACAGGGACAATGGGTTGGGTTGGGGTTTCGTAGCGACTTTTAAAATCGCCATCGATGACTAGAAGACGAGGTGCATTTCAGAAACAACATTCGTGTCAATGGAGATTCTGGGGACAAACTCTTGACATCGCGATGATTCAGTGAGACACTAATGATTTTCACAAGTACATCATCATCGCCAAGATCTGTAGGCACTGGGACATCTTGGAGTTGGAGGCAGTCAATGCCATCCATAAGGGTGGTCCACTGCTTCATTGCGGCGCTGGAAAGTATTCTTGCGAAAAGGCGATTGTAGTGAAAGGGTGGCGAGGCTTCTAAAGTTGACTGTGCTGTATCTGTAAACTTATTGCGACTTGTGGGAACTAGATTTGTCAGCCTCTAGGTTTGCGGAAGTTTGTTTTATTCTAGTCACAAACACTGCGGGAGGGTGGATCAGCTGTCACAGAAGGAAGAACCATGCTTCTAGCCTAGAATTGGTTGCCGAACATCAATCTCTCTTCGGACAGATTTAATAGATCATCAACATGGAGTTTGCCCGACATTATCATGGCACATTTCAGTATCAAGGGCCTTTTCACAATTTTTAGTTCAATCGCCTCGGCTCTCCTCCATCAAATCTTTACTACTGTTTCACTTTGTCAGCATTGAAGATCTTTACATGCGAGTACATCTATGTTTAAATTGATCAAGTTACAATGTTTCTATTCTGAAAGTTTGTCTTGTGACTGTAACTGTAGATACCTGGGGTGAAAGAGAGAAGAGGCGGGACCGTCGAGACGTCAACACGTTCAATGTGGTGAGGGCGGGACGAGCCTCCCAAAAGGCCAAATCACGGTTCCTGATGACAAATCTTCCAGAGCCCACCAAACACAAAGGATCTGCTCACTCACGGACGAATTATATGACTTCTAGGCTTTATATTTTTTCAAACAGACGTTACTTGTGTGTTTTATTGGCAATGGTCACTCTGAAATGCTTTCCATCTTCACCGTAGTTGCAGCTGTCACAGGTTGGAAGAAAAAGTATTTGTTTCGTATGCCCCTTTCAACTGCATCTAGTAGAGAGGCATGACGGCGCATTAGACCATTTAGGGGGACCGAAGTCCCCACCGTCGGACTTGATTGCTCTAGTCTGATCACTTGTGTAACACACAGTTATTGAATATACCGACTCACGTACCCAGATCTTGCAGCTCCTCTACCTTACAATGTGTTGTATACATGAACGACCGAAGAGACCTTATCTATACCAACGGCCATGATGTTTATCGAGTACTGTGAGCTCTTAGTCGGGTATCTAAGTATCGAAGACGCTCTCCAGTGTAGGTGTCGGCCAGTTGCAGTAGCGGCGGCCCGTTAGACGCCAGGTAGGTAGGCAAAGATTCAAGGCCCCAGCAAACAATGCTAAAGAGGAACCACCGACTGCCGCGGGCGGACACCAAGATATTGTTTCGCATTGAGATGCAAAGGGGCAGAACGGTAGACGCCGAGTAATAATCCATCTTGCTGCGCACGACATAGTAGATCTTGCCTGCTGCTACATGTGCTATATCGAGTCGAACTCATAAGGCATCTTCCCCTTCTCGCATTCTTCTGCAATTCTATTCAACTAACCAACTCACCAACGCACCTTGTCTCACGTCTCTGCCGCCGCATTGCTGTAATTCATCATGGCCAAGACACTCCCCTTCCGGGACATCACGGTCCCTATCCCCGGCTTCGACGCTATGGGTCTGAGTCACGGCCTGGGCAGTAATCTCAGCCTCGAAGAGGCCGAACCCGTGTTGCTCAAGGCCATTGAACTAGGATGTACCTTCTGGGACATCGCGGTGAGTCAGATCGCAGACCCACGGTCTCGCTCCTAAACCAGGGTTGGTTTGCTGATTGTTCCTCGAGGAGGGAGGTGGCAGGTCATTTATGCGGCTGGTGTGAATGAGAAGCTCCTAGGCGACTCTATCAAGAAGCACAACGTGCGCGACAGACTCTTCGGTACGTGTGTTACAGCTGTAGATGTAAATGTGGCTTTAGGTGCTGGGCACCAAGTCACCATCTCTGTTCTCTCTAGAAGGGTAGGCCGATCACTAACCCATGGGTGTTTAGTTGCCTCAAAGTGCGGTTTCAGTTGCTTCAACGGCGGAGGAATGACGGTTACGAATACGGCAGAGCATATCAAGGAATATACTGAGGGCACCATTGAGAGACTTGGCTTCACGCCCGATCTCTACTACCTCCACCGCATCGATCCCAGTGCGTCACATCTAAATCCCACGCGTACGCAGTAAGACGAATAACAGTTGCTGACTATCTCGCCGAGTGAAAGACACCCCCTTGGAGGAATCCATCCCAGCGCTTGCTGAGCTCCGGGCCGCTGGCAAGACAAAGTATATCGGGCTGTCCGAGTCTTCCGCCACGACGCTTCGCAAGGCCAATTCGAGTCAGTAGGGCCCCTCGATTCCACGGATGAATTTTTGCAGATAATCAATCTTGCTGAACCTGCTTGCATCCCAGTTGCCCCGATCGACGGTCTTCAGGCTGAGTACTCGGCCTTCGAGACACTGCACGAGACAGACGGGCTAATCGACACGGCGAAGGAGCTCGGCATAGCCTAGGTTGCCTATAGTCCTCTTGGTCATGGCTGGCTTGTCGATGACTTCCCATTCAAGAGTCCTGATGACTTTGCTCCAAACGACTTTCGAAGTTCATGTAAGTCCAGTCCATCCTGCCACGGGTAGCCATTATGCCTTGAGGGCAGAACCACTCGCTAACAATTCGCGTACCCGACGCAATACAGCTCCCAAGTTTCAGGGCGAGCACTTTTTCAAGAACAAGGCGATCGTCGACGAGCTCAAGAATATCGCCCAGCGCAAAGGATGCTCTACCCCTCGCCCTGGCATGGGTCGCTGCTCAAGGCTTCATCCCGATCCCGGGCACCACAAAGGCGAAGCGCCTCGAGGAGAACTTCGCATCGCGGGACATCGACTTTACTGAGGAAGAGAAGCAGTAAATGAGAAAACTGGTCGATGCCGCCAAGCCTCCTGGTCATAGGTATGGACCTGCTGCCGCAGCTATGGTTGGGCACTGATCACAACCCGCTGTTGCCGATGAAATAGGGACATGCCCAACAGGCCCCGAAGGCGTCGAAGTTGTGTACATGGTATAGGTGAACGGCTGCCCCATAGGCGCAAGACTGTTCTAGAGAGCGTACTAGATATTCATGTGGTGATTATAGTAGGTTATAAGAGGCTTATGAACCGTTCTTTCAGCACTTTTATTCAGCATGCTGCTTTTTAAGGGTTGATGATAGAACCAGCAGGTGCGAGAGCTTTTATATCTAATCTCTTCATGACTTCGTTCCGCCCAGCCACTCGACTATCCCTGACGTACTTGCAACACGGCCGGTCTTGCGGCCATCATACTAAATTTTCCAAATTTCTTCGTTCTACTCATTGCGCTAATATAATGGCTGCTTGAGTCTTGAGAACAGAGAAGATTAGAGACCATACTGTTGGTTGATGGAATATGCAATTCGAGATTATAGGTGTAGCCCTGAGTCACCCTTTAGGTTCTAACCACTAATCGCCCCTTTGATCCCTTATGAGAGGCATCTCGGTAACCGTCACGCTTCTGCTATTTGCCAATCTATTACCCTTCATTCTCCCCTTGAACAACCTCTAACCCCTCGGTCGCTAACTTTGACTAACGCTAACTCTCATACTGACCCTAGCGTCGTGAATCCTTTTAAGACTCTCACCTTTTACGTGTAAAAAGGGTGTGAAGGTGTACATCCGTTCCGCTCGAGGGAGTGACAATAACCGAACTCGTTCCAGATCGCCAGATCGCGTGCAGTCACAACCTTGAGTCTGTCTTGGAACTGATATGCGTTCTGCATGGTTGCCTTCCAGATTGGCTGGGGACTCATGCTATCAGCAGGGCGGACGTCGATACTGTCTCGCTATGGCCAATCTTACAAGTGTTATGAAGCTCGACCAAAACATCAGTCAGTGCTTTTGTGTATTACTTGCAAACGAAGCTGCCTTTTTTTATAGAGGGTACCGAGGATCTTCTAGTGAATCGAAATCTCCCAGACCACCCGGACCACTTGGAAGAGCACAGTGTCCGATATCTGATGGGCTAAACCAGCCCATGGCGAGAGTTAATCCAGGTCACCACATCATTTGCAGTTTGTTTATGCTGGATTGATGTGAATTTTGCTTGCTGAATGACCCACATCGAAAAGAGCGCGAAGAGCCTTCCTGCCATCTTGCCTTGCTGAACTCCTCGCCCAAGTTGTTTCTGTGTTTGCACAAACCCCAGAAGCTGAGGAAACGATTCGACTATCACAGCCGAGAGCACATCGACCCATTCGCGCTGTTTCTGAACGACCGCCACAGTATTCTCGTCAGGCAAATCTCGATCCTGCAATAACGTAATGTACTGCAGAACATCTATCAAAGATTCTCGAAGAACAATCTGACTTGCCGCATAGAAATTCCATATGTAAGCCTTGCCTCGCTGTTAGTTTCAGGCATGAAGTTGTGATGTTTAGGTGGTCTTACTAGCCATATGTCGTCGTAGGTAATGAGTCGAGGATACGGGAAGTATGGGATCGGAAAATGGGGTGATTCGTTGACTTCTTGAGGTTGTGCGATGTTTTGGGGGTTATCTTCGGTTGCCTTCCAAACTCCAGTCATTTCTGCCGCCCAACTCTCGACCTTCGCGGTGAGTTCCTGCATCTCCTGCGCCAGGTGATTTGCACGATCCAGCTTCTCGAGTCGCAGCGTCTCATCAGGCTCGAGGATTGGCGTGATGAGCGTCTTGGTGACCGCGCTGAGAATGTTCATATGCATGACATGGGTACAGATACGGAGGTCCGGACGCTCCTCGTCCAGCTTGCTCACCCACGCTTGTTGCTGAGCATCGGGCTCTTCGCGAAACAAGGTCTGCCAAGCTTGAAGTCGATAATGCGTCAAACGCCAGAGAGAAAATCGAGTTGGGCTGTATAGTTGGCCCTCGCCTCGGATGCGTAGTACATGCTTGACAGCTTCGGTATGGGGGCTGAGAGGATCATTCCGTGCGAGATACATCAACTACGGTAAGACATTTAGCGGGGCACCAGAATGAGGCACTATAGACGTACCTCAAAATTGTCAACAAGCAGCATGGCATAGAGAACATCATCGCTTCCAAGCTCTTGCCCATCAGTTACCATTGTTCTCATGCGGCTCAAAGCGGCGCCATAATGCTGTCTTGCCTTGGTTGAAAACGGCGCGTCTTCAGCACTTTCATTTCTCATGTCCGCAAACGCCAAGGCACGGACGGCTAGCCAGAGAACGGAATCTGGCTTTGCATCAAAGAAGAAGGCCGGGAGATCATGCATAAAACCTACATCTATCATTTAAGATGTGCTAGCCGACTTCAACACGCTGGGTGGCCTTACCAGGAGTGGTGCCATGATTGCTAGGATGCAATGTCCAATTGACAAAGAAACGATCGACAGCTCGGTCCTCGACAGGTCTTTTCAGGGCTGATGGTATTATAGCGAGTGCATGCTCATTTAGCCACCAATATTGTTCCCTCATGGATTCTGTGACGACCTCCGGGATACCTGGTGATGATCGAGTTTGCATAGCCATGCTGGACGAAGCAATCTCCAGATTTGGGGGGCTGTGCCCATGCCGTCTCCTCGCACGTTGCGAGTTTCTTTTGGCAACCTCATTTTCGTCACGAAATACGAAGACTGATTGCAACGGGAGGCCGGAGCAGATTAGTCTCTGCTGAGTGCAGCGTCCGCATGATGGACGGGCAAGATCACACTTGACTGTCTGTCAGTTTGACCATCTATACATGACTGGGAGGATGTGGCTGAGATGAATCGAGTGAGTTGCGCACACATACCTACCTTCGCCTTTGCAGTCTTGCAGGGAAAGCAGCCCCGAGTTCCGCTCATGGTGGTTGACCAGGGATCACCAAGAACAAAGTAAACACCTGGAAGTGTGTCAAGTTTCGGCGAACCAATGCGAGATTACTAAATCAACACTACCGCGTACAAGTGCACGCTGACATCACCCGGGAGTCGGGCAATCTCGCGCCCAATCCCAGTCTCGGGATAACAGCCGAGTCATTGTCTAGGATGCGACACAGCAAGCCACCACCTGTCTAGGAAAATGCAAGACCTTTTTAGGTCTAGCGTTGCTCTGGTGCTAACTGTGGAGAGAAGTGCAGATCTCCTCACTCAGTCAAGGCCAGTGCCTGCTTTACATGTTGAGATTAACGGAAGATCTTTCAAGGAAACTTCCAAAGTTCAAGCCTGATAACTGATCAGTAAACAATCTTACTAATATTTGACCACACTGGAGATTTCGTACCTCTTTTTGAGCTTCAAAGTAAGCCCTATTTAGGTATGGTGCCGTTGTGACTCAAATCTGCAGAGTGAGATGAGGTAATGGGGTTGTCCTCTCCACCAAAAGAGCTTCGTCAAGAAAGTGTATATATAGACAGGACCAGCACGCATTGTGATATGTTCATCTCAATCAAGTTCCGACTTATTCTCCTCATCATCAGTTGATCACAACACATCTACCAAAAAGCAACTGTTTCATTGAACTGTGGTACTTCCGGATCAAAGAAACCACGCTTCAATCATAACATCATCATTTGAACCATAAACATCCGCCACTTAAGAAAACATGGCTGCCCAATCTGCTAACATCCCTCTTCCTTCCGAAGGCGTACATGGAGTCAATGAAGATGGTACTGCAACTGCAACCTGTCTTTGCGGAGCTGTGCAGCTCTCCTTTGTGAGTTTGCCTCATAATCTTTCTTTTGATTGACCTCAAGCTCATATAAGAACAGCCTGTTGAGGGCGAAGACCTGGTGAATACGTTTGTCTGTAATTGTAGCGACTGCCACAAGCTCAGCTCATCAATGTTCTGCTCCAACTTCACCGTCAATGACAAGGCCCTCAAGCACGTTCGCGGAGAGGACAAGCTGTCCAGATGGGCGCAGAACAAGACCATCGCCTCAGGCGCCACCATGGAGGACAGCTTCTGCTCAGTATGCGGCAACCTCATGTATAGGAGGAGCAGCCGGTTTCCGGGCATGAGCATTCTGAGAATCGGCACCGTGGACGACTTCAACCTGCATGCGTCGAAGCTGAAGCCGCAGTTCGAGCAGTTCACCAAGAGTAGGGTGGATTGGTTTGGCGGGGTGCAAATTGAGGGCTTGCCTCAACATGTCAATACTGGATTCTAAAGACTCTAATGTCTAAGTTATTATGTGCAAGGAAGCTGTTCGATTGGAACTTTATAGTACAATTAGGGGTTGAGGTATAATAGCAATTAATTGATGTTTTGATGACGTATGACACAAGGTATACTCTGTGATCCCAGCGCGTTTGATGTCCATCATCCGTTGGTTCAAGAGCTTGAGCAATTCGCCGACCGTTCTCCTATCGTATCGTCACTCCGTCAGGCCATTGTCCAGCTGAGTATTCATGTCGTTGACCATCGCGTATAGGTTCCTGTCCTCCTTGAGGAAGGGAATCATGTCATGACATCTTATTCTATATCCACCATCCATTGACTAGGGCACTGTTGCCACTTGCCGACCTTGCCGCTATCGTACTCTTCTCCCATCACTCCCTGCTCCAGCTCCATCTCCATGTCGTCAACTATTTCATGCAGGCCCATATTGTGGCGAATGCAAATATGTGGGGGACAGCCCTGTGGAGGTGACCAGTCTGTAACAATTTTGGTTAGCACAGCCTTTTTGAGAGAGTTGTTCCAAGGCAAGAGAAATCATCTTTCGGATTTTGTCCCTGGATGGTTGATTAAGATTGCTGGGATAAAAGGAGTAGATGTACGATATGGAAGTCACTTACGCCAATCCCACTCGAGAAACACAAATAATCGCTCCAATCCTCCTTTCCGCAAGACTGTCAACGGCTTGAGGAAAGCGTGGTGTGGTCGCAAAAGAAAGTCCGCATAGTCTTGAAGGTAGAGATTAAATGGCCTTTGGGAACGACTCGACCATGAGTGGGGGCATTGGGGAGGAAAGTAAGACCTCATATGAACGACAACCGTCATGGAAGGTAGGTCAGCATGAGCCCGTAGATGATCTACGGCGAAGCGTCAGTCTTCGTAGATTGGAACACCTGGCCTGGTCGAATAGCCGTACGTGGCGAACGCAGGAAAGACGAGCTCGACAGTCCGCAGATGCTTGAGTGTTGCAGGCCATATATGCCTGGTGATGAATCTTGAGGCGAACAACCGGCTATTTCGGTCGCTAAAACGGAGATTGTCAAACCAAACATGTCGACTCGGCAAAATAATGACGCGGTTGAAAGAATAGAGGACTTGCATGGAGTGTTCGTACATGGCTCGGCTGACAAGCATGAAGGACTTGGGCGGCGTCCAGCAGTGGCAGCCAGACGAATAAGTGCTCTGTGTAGCGGTGCAGAAAGACCCTGTTATGTTCGAATGCTGAGTTTGGCATGTTTTGAACTTCCACATCTGGCGGATGTGGGCACCTCTGCCGAGGAAGCCTCTCAAGCCTAGTTTCTGGCAGTAATGCATGCCCCAGTTTACGCAAAATCCTTTACTGGGAATCCATTGGACTTCGCGATATGGAGCAACAAGATCGGTGTAAGCGAGAATTCTCAATCGAAGCTCTGGAGGAAGATCCAAGAACCGGAACGGTGTCTCCTGCAAATCAAGATCATACCCCTTTGATCGCAGTACTGCATCCCGAGCCATTGCTGAAAGCAAATGATCTTTTGAGTCATTAAGACGGACATGACAATCAGCGAGGATACCTGGACAGCTTGTCAGAGCCTCTAGAACGACTTTAATATTCTTTCCATCAATATCGTCACAGGTGAGGTGTAGGTCGAGAGTCCCTGGTTTTGTGTGGGCGAACAGATGCGCTACGGTGGTACGCCAAGCGTGAACGGTGCTTGGAGATAGAGTAAATGGTCTCTTGAGCACAGGTGGCGTCAATTCCTTTGGTGCTCTTTCCAAGATGCTGTTGAGAGACAGTTGAATGTAGACCTTCCGCAATCCGGCGCAGATACGAGGTGGCAAGTGAGAGAGATGGTTGAGACCGAACAGAGCATAGTCATAACACACAGTAATGCGATTTTCGTTGAAGAGGATGTATTGGACTTCGTCGTGGATAGCTTTGCAAGTCTGCAAAAGTCTGAAAGCGAGTCTATGCGCATCAGATAGTCTGTAGACGCAGAAACATATCAAGTTCGTATGATCGACAAACCAGACCGGTCGTCGTCCGCCAGGGACGAGGACGAAATCACTGTCAAGTAGGAGGCCAGCCTCCTCGTAAATTTGATGCCTTACATCATATGATAGATGGAGAAATGTTATCCAAGGTGTAATGACACCTCCGATATGCTCTTGGATGATGTTGAATGAGAAGGTGGGCTTCCATGGTAGTGTGCTGCTGTATTCCATCTTGTCGCGTTCTGATGGAATCGGGTCTCAGATGCGGTGAACACAACAAAGATTCTAACGATGATTCAGGTAGACTTAACGCCACACATCAACTTCTTGACTCGTATTCAGACCCGGAACTTGTCGGCGTCGTCGTTATAGCTGGAAAATGGTCAAAGGGAACCCTCAGCTCGGATTTGTGGTTGTTGTGTGAGCTCACACTGCGTAGACAAGTGATAGCCGCGCTTCAAGGCATCAACAAAGCCGTATCCACAACAAGCGACGCGAAAGAACGTGTAAGAGCTGTTCGTCACATGCTAGCCACAGTGGTATACTTACAATGACGCGAATGCCACTAGACCTGAAAATGTATCATGCTGTGACTTCACGGTTTTGTGTATCCTGGCACGCTAGACACACTGCATCTCCTCAGAGATACCTCAAGCTTCAGGTATCTGTCAACTCTCCTGAAAGCCATTGCTCAGATCACTTCATAGTAATATTCACAAACACGAGGCTCTTCTAATTGCCGATAACGTTAACACACTCAGGTGCCATTTTTGCCATCGGAGAAAGGTCTTTCGCAGCTACTTAGCCATTTTCCCTGTTGATATGAAACTTTACTTTGCGAGTTTCCCCACATCTTTCAAGATGATTCTTTGGTCATGTCTATTCATTTCCCTTTCATTTCCTTTTCAATCATATGCGAACATAGTCTACTCAAGTGTTCTCCTTCTTGCCCATGTTGCTCTCGCGATTATCACCAAGAAGATTGATTTGAGATCGACTCGATCCAAGACCTCCTGTTGGTGTTGGAGTCGTAATTGGAGCAACTCTATTGCTCATAGTAGGAGACTCGATGCCGGGCGCGATCACTTTACCAACTGCATTCAGGATTACAGGCGCCAACTTATTGATGACGGCTGTAGCGTGCTCCTTTACGACAGAGTACAGCTTCTGCGCTCCAGTCTGGATAAAAGAGAGGATCGACTCCTCCTAGCCGGCGTGTATCAGCCCCCGAGCTGTCCAGAGTAATGCGCATGATTGGTTGGTGGTTGGCTTCCACGGCTTAACTTCTCAGGAAACGGTGCTGAAAGCTCCGAGCTCCGCCACAATTGCCCCTATTCGGGGTCTTAACCACGGCCCGGAACCGTGGTTTGATGTAAGCCGCAGCGCAATTTTCGGCTTGTCTTCTCATTGATATGACTCCTAATGGAAGAACTTCGGCGAAGCCTAAGTACTTGTGCGGCGCAATCATTGACTGCCCACAATATTTCGGGCTTCATTGGCTGTCCGATGTGTCCCTATGCTCTGATTTAGATCGTAGAGTAGAGTGTTCTTATATAGGTGCTCAAAAAGTATATAACGTTATCATTTTTGTCGAACTATTCTGCCAACGACTCTGCCTATAAATGAAACTGCTCGTATTAGAAAGCCAAGGCTCGCCTCGTCACTACGAATTCAAGGTTAGTCAACGTCACCAAATACTCCTGTCGTTCATATCATTGTCACTCGGGCATAATCACTCGTTGAGACTCAACAAGAGTGTGCAGGCTTTTCGTTACAGTGCTTGGCCTCCTTGATGTCGCCGGGGCGCCCTCTCTTCGCGGACCCATTGCTCGACGAGGTCGCAGCTGTACCAGTTTCCCAACTTCACCTTTGTCGAGATCATTGCTCTCAGACCCAACGGGCACCTGCTCCTTGACACTTTTGACAGCGTCAAAATGTACACTCTGGACCCGGCTACTACTAGATGTCTTTGCCGTCACAGGTGGCATGCTTAGCATATCAGCTTTTTGCTCCGTCCGAGAGACTAGTAGAGTCTTTCTCGTCGATTTCCGGAGGTGCAAAGGAACTAATGACAAGACCACGGTCCAGCATCTTGCCTCCATTCCAGACGCATTGATCTTGAACGGCATAGTGTCGCTGCCTGTGCATCCGCACATCGTTCTCAGTATAGAATGAATGGCTGGGTTGCTATACCGCGTTAACACATTGACGGGCAGCGTGGACATCGCTTTTCAGAACGACAGGCTCGGGCTAGGCAATCCCCCTCTTTATACACCTTTGGGCGCCAACGGCATCAAGGTTCATGGTGACTATTTGTATTTTACCAACTCCAATTAGAAGTTCTTTGGGCGGGTCAAATTCACCGCGTACAGTGATCGCGCCGGTGACATCGAAAGATTACTGGCCCGCCAAATTCAGCAGAACACACCTATGACAACTTCGCGATGAGCAAGGACGGGACCACATACGTGTCTCTTTACAATTCGAACTTGTTGAAGATCACATCTAGCGGTAAGCAGCTCATTATTGCTAGTGGCGACAGCGCTACCGTAAAGCTATACGAGCCCGCATCAGCAGTGCTAAGTGCGGACGAAAGAGTGGTGTACATCTCCACAGGTGATACGACTCTCAATGGCACTATTGAGGGAGGTCAAGTCGTTGCGGTTAAACTGTGGGAGTTTATAGTCTATAGAGCAAGAGGCAGCTGATGGATTCCAGCTCTAGCCAGGAAGATCGGGCTTTCCGAAGCACAGTAAATCCACTTAGAGGAATGTGAGTCCATTTTTTCAATAGATCAGCCAGCAGTAGTGACTGCAGCCCTATTTCCTTGATATCCTGATAGTTTGCACTGACACTCATAAATAACATTTGGTCGTTGAAAAGAAATCTCCTAACTTGATGAGAGATAAACTAGACCTGTCTATAAGACAATAGTGTCGTGCATCTCATGATTGTATAGCGCATATGGCGCTTTCAAGCTTGAGATTTTGCGGTCTTGTCAGTTTCACTAGCGCTTAG